ACATGTTTACCGCAGCACTAAATGGAGTACCCATGCAGGATAAACAAAGTACAATGCACATATTCAATTACAATGCAGCCTTCAAAAAGGTAAAAGTCAATGCCCTAATAATGGTAAAAATTAACTTCTAGCTTTGATGGGGCTACTCTGAAAGATAAACAAGATTCAATATAGGGCATATTATTTCTATTTACTCAAAAAACTGTTAATGTTACTACATTCAATTTGCAGAGAAGATAGAAAACAAACTATACTGTATAAAAATGGAGATGAATCTCATAGGCATGATCAATGAAAAAAGTTTAAAAAAGCCAGATATTGTATGAGTCCATTTATATTATATTTCCTTAAAAAAGGCACAACTATAATGAGAACAGATCAGTGGTTGCCATGATTAAGTGAGGGTACAACAGCAGGAAGGAAGATTTTTAGGTGGTAGTGTCTATACAAATTTATACCTGAGTTAAAACTTAAAAAGCAAATCTTCTTATATATTAATTTTAAAAAGAATGATATTTTGATTGCATATACTTACAAGGCTATCTTTTCTTTAAAAAAATTAGGATGCTGTTTTTAGTACAAATTTTTTTGTTATAATTTTAAAATTTCTGATTCCAAAGCAATTTAGAGTTAGTCTAATAAGAAGTGATTAAAAAACATTTTTTACATCAACAATGAGTTAGTAATATAAATCTGTTTAAGAATGAGTAGGGGCATGAAGAAAATTCTGTCTTAGCTTGTAAAATAAAAGCAATCAAATCTTCTTACCATCTTAAGAAGAACAAGTCACTGTTATTTCTCCCAAATAGAATCTGTTCATTCTTTTCATACATATAATTATGTAGAGCATTAAATTGGATATAGAGAGGCTTTTCTCTACTTATACAGATTTTGCCATCCTTTTGGTCTGAATTTGTGTCAAACTTTTTTTGTGTGTGAACTAGAAATAATGGTTTCTCTTGTACAAGAGAGTAAAACATTATAAGCATTACAAAACTGTTCAAATTGTTTGTTAAGTTATACATTGTAATTAGTTTGGCAGAGCTAATACAAATCACATTTACAGACTAACAATAATAAAATTGAAGTACCAGTTAAATATCCAAAATAATTAAAGGAATCATTTTTAGCCTGGTATAATTAGCTAATTCACTTTACAAGCATTTATTAAAATGAATTCACATGTTATTATTCCATAGGTAGTTACACAATAGTGTTTACACAGGAAAAAATAATGAACCAAACTCTTTGTATCCAGCACTCCACAATTAAAATGAAGACTCCCCAAGTAATATCAATCTAGGATAGACTAATTAAGTTTGGTTTGATAACCATTCATTTCTCCTATTGCCTCTGAGCAAATTGTTTATTAGAGAAAGTTATTTTACACAAATCAAATCAAACTGGGTAAACCATTATATTTGAGGGAAACTTTAGCCATCAGTCAATTAATCCATCATTTTCTCCAGACACTATTGTTTAACGAGCAGATCATATTATCAACAATTTAGATATCATATGATTCAATTATAACACTAAATTTATTGACAGTTTCTCTAATACTTTTCTTATGAGTAAATTTGAATTCTTTTTACCTTTGTGAGAAAAGCAAAACTAATTCAGGTATTATGTCAAATATTAAATACATAAAATTCTCTAAATTTTATAATGGTTTGAAAATACAGTATTACTACAAGAGGAAAAATAAATTTTAATAAGTTAAAACTGCTAATAAGGTAAAACTAAAATATTCCTTTAGTATACTGAAATATATATAATCTTATTACACTAAAACTTCATTTCAAGAAAGGATACAGGAAAACATTAACTTGTACTCATAACAATTAGGAAATTTGTCTCTAAACTTAATGTTCAAGTCATTTGTCAACTGAATTTATGTGGCCTGTTAAAGGCCAGGAATACAGATTTTTAGGTGTTTCTAAGACTATGATTTTTATAGAAGGTATTAAATATCACATATTAATACAGATAGCATGAAAAAGAAAATATCACCTTTCAATATCTGTTCAGATTATCATATATAAAATAGTAGTAACACTGCACCAAAATCAGAAGAAATCTCAAAATAAGGTCTTTTTTTTTTGATACTGGGGATTAAACTCAGGACCTTCTTCTTGCACGCGATGGCACCACTGAGCTAAATCCCTGGCCCTCAAGAAGTTCTTTTTGTTTACTATAAATGTTGAAAAATGATCCTTTCTTTATACATTTATTTTTTATAAGTTTGGTTTTTTACAGTTCAATTTATTAATGATGTATCAATAGACTGTCTCCAATAGTTTTATGTTGGCTAGTTTAATCTCATTAATCTGAGTTTAAATACCTCAGTTATATATCATGTCTTAAAACTTTACCTCATAAAAGAAAAATTCAAGACTCCACAGATGTTCAACAAATATTTACTATCAGAATGATATCTTGGAGCTGGGCGTGGTGGCACATGCCTGTAATCCCAGCACTTGGGAGGCTGAGGCAGGAGGATTGCTGTGTGTTCGAGACCAGCCTGGGCTACACAGTGAGTTCCAGATCAGTCTCAACTACATAGTAAGACACTGTCTCAAAAAA